CACACACACTCACACACACACACACACATTACTACAGACCAACACCAAAGCAAGTGTTTCATCAGTATTTATTTACTCTGTAAGTGTGTTTGCGTGTATTTGTGGACACATGCAGAGAGGAAAGTGCGTTTAGAGACTCACTTAGTGTCAATGAAGCTCAGTCTGACCAGCGAGTGTTCCACAAGCTCTGTGTTTATGTGTCAATCAACCAAAACACAAACAGACTGCACTGACAAAATCAGTCACAAAATCTGTCACGAGTGAACACGCACAAACTCTGCCGAAAAGAACGGCCTAGACCAGCCTACAGTGTTAGATTGTCTGTTTTGTTGGTTTTATAGGGGTGTTGGGTACAAGCTGGTGTTTAGCCAGCTGGTCTCCAAGCCTGACTGGCTGGCTGCCAGTTAAATACCAGTCTGACCAGGCTGCTAAACCACCTAAGACTAGTAAACCACTTTAGGCTGGTTGATGTTTTTTTTTTCTCAGTACACATTACCTTAAACTTCAATGTTCAGGAAACTAACTTGAGGTGCATCACATTTTAATTACATTTTGGCAAAATTTTTTGACTATTTTCAACAATGTAGCAATTATGAAGCACATCTTTAACAGAAGTCACTTTCAAAACAAGAAGTTTTCTTTTGGTCAACACAAAATGAATGATTGTAAGGATTTCTATAGAACTGACTATAGATTTCGCCCACAAAAATTCACTGAACAATGGTAAATGTGACTGCAACTTTAAGTAGTTAATCAAAGTCTACAGTCACCAATCCATAAATTTGAGTCTGTTGTTTTGTTTTTATTTAATTGAAATTAACTAGACTGCTAATAAGCTGACTATAGACTGTTCGAAGTTGAATGTACATTGTTATTTGAAGTTAACATGAATAATAAATGAATGTGAACACAATAAGTTAGAAATTATGGCTGCTTTTTGTCAATTATAATTTTTATTAATGTATTATTGTTGGTCAGACAACTTGCAGACCACTTTTTTTGTAAATACTGCTTTAAAAGAATGGTTGGAGTTAGCATAACTTAAATCATGTGGTGGCAAAACAATTGCTCATAAACAATCAGAGCATGGTGAATGAACAGAAACATCACCTTGTCACACAGGATTTCATATTTAGTTCTGTGTTTGTTTTGCCTTTCGTCGCACCTGTGAACTCTCAGTTGAAATAGTGAATTTAAGTCTGGAATACTAATGCGAATGCTAATTCACTCCTGTTGTCTGTTCATTTGGTTTCCCGCAGACAAAAGGGCATTTTGCCATTCATCAAGATCTGCCAGCCACACACACACTCACTCACATGTTTGATTTCGTATCATAGTAGGGTCTTTACAAAGACTTCTACTGTTATATACTAAACTAATTATATTTTGCTTCCTCTAAACCTGATGCAAATCAATCAGTTTTTTTATATTGTCATTAACAGTTGTTTAATATGTTTATGAAGTGATTTTTCTTACAGGGACCATTGTGTGCCCAACTGGTTCCTGATTTAAGGTTTAACTATGCTCATAGGGACATTTGGTTCCCATAATACTGCCAAAACCCAATGGATACACTCATAAACACAGTCTAGACTCTAGAGACACACTTGATCATCTTCTTTGGCTTGTGAATCCTTTTAGGACTGTAAGCATTTACATGCTTCTTTTTAGTTCATTATTTTTGTTTTGCTCAGCAAATGGGCAATTTCACGTTCCAGTCAAAACGGTGTTAGGACTTTGAAGGGAAGAATGTGTCTTGATGACATGATGACTAACTGTCAGACACACACACACACACACACACACACACACACACACACACACACACACACACAGCCGAGCGTTACTGTCCATCAGCGCCTACAGCTCCGTCTCCAGCTTCTTACTGTCAGACACACACACACACACACACACACACACACACACACACACACACACACACACACACACACACACACATTGACTAATCCTCTTACACTCAGCCAGAGCTGTAGGGCTCGGCTGGTCATGACTGTTTCTGGCAGCCTCAGCTACCTGCTACCATGCCACATGTTTCTCTCTCTCTCTGTGTGTGTGTGTGTGTGTGTGTGTGTGTGTCTCTGAGGCATAAGGCGGTAAGTGAATGTGATTGTGTCCAATGTTCAATAACACGGAACATGTAAAATTAATCAAACACGACTAATTCTGACACATCCATCATTCTGGGTTTGGATGCATGACCTCAGTTTGTGTGTGTTAGAATGTATTTCTCTGTTTGTTCAAATAGATGGACTTCTTCATAGACCTTCCAGAAACCACGGCAACAGCATCCCCTCATGCTAGACTGTGTTGTGATGTCACAAAGGGCTGTACACAGTTGCCTTGGCAATGACTGCATATTTCTGATATGAAGCCTTAGTGTTTTTTTTGTGCATCTAACTGGCTCCTAGAGAATTTGCATACAGAAATAACCGCTGTTTGTTGTACCCAGAACATTGTAATGCTGCACAAAAGCCGGATTTCTTGAGTTGCTTCTCTTTGAGGTTGGATTATGGTTTTATTCCAAATTGGAATAGACATGTAAAGCCCAATATTCTCCTGGCCTCTACAATATAAATTAGAGTGAAATACATTGAAACAAATCATAATAGTTTCCACACACTTTAAAGCCCACTAGGACCAATTGTTAATTTTTGATAAATTCTGTGGAGTCACACGCACAATGGAAATCTATGGGGCAAGGCATAGAGAGTTTAAAAGCAATGACAATTCATATATTTGGTAAAGCATAAAGCGCTTTTTTATAAAGTCATGTTAATTCTTTTGTAGTACTATTTCTTTCTTTCTTTTTTATTAAAGGTGACCTATTTTGCCGCTTTTTACAAAATGTAATATAAGTCTCAGGTGTCCCCAGAATGTGTCTGTGACGTTTCAGCTCAAAATACCCCAGATTGTAAGTATATTGTTTTGAAAATGCCTATTTTTAGTGGAAGCAGAAACATGCTGTTTTCGTGCATGTCTCTTTAAATGCAAATGAGCTGCTGCTCCCCGCCCCCTTTTCCAGAATAGGGCCGCTTTACAGCTCATACCTCGGATACTTTGCTAAAAACATGTTTGGTTTTGATTATCATGTCTATTGGGCTGAAATCAGGCTTTTTAAAGCCATATCAGTTTAAATTTCTAATATATATGGTTTTCTGAGCACACACATCCGGAGCACACGCACAGAAAGCGGCTGTCACACAGCATGCGAGTACTAAACTAAGTTCTCTTTCATGTCTTATTGTACTAACTGTTAAATACACTCAAGTTTATGTTAAAAACACACACGAGTTACAAAAACAGTCGGTTAAGTCTGTGAAGGTAAACAGCTGAGAAAGAAATCGCACGTTTATATTAGATCTGTGTGGCAGCAGCGTAATAGTAAATAAATCAATAAATGCACTGCTCTCTTGTGTCCTCTGAGGCTGGGACTCTAAATAGTGTTCTTTGCTCGTCAGTGCAGTCAAAGACAGAACAGTTAGCATGCTTTGCTCAAACTTTTGCCATGGTGTTAGAACTGGTACACCGTTGTCGTTTGCGAAGACACAGTGGTGGCGCCGTAGGTGGAAATGTGCAGATTAAGGGGCAGAAATATTATAATAACATCCCCTTTCTACATCACAGGGAGAGCGAAATATGAACGGCACATGTTTTTCACAAGCTTGCAGAAGAAAGGCTTACCAAAAAAAAAAAAAAAAGTTACTGGGTTGTCCTTTTTCATGTTTTTTTTTGGGTTGTTGGATGCACTGGGGACCCGATTATAGCACTTAAACAGATAAAATGTCTGATTTTCATGATATTTCCCCTCTAAAGAACAGTAAAAACATGAATATTGTGAAATATTATTACTTCTTGTGCTCAAGAAACAGTTGTACTTAAGATATTTGTCAAAACTGTGACACTTTCTTTCAGGGTCCTTTTAGAAAGTTTAAAAGAACAGCATTTATTTGAAATAGAAATGTAATGCTCCCTTAATGCCACCTTGGGGAATAAAAGTATTAATTTATTAATAATCCAGACTTTTGATGGGTAGTGTATGGTTCTGGTATGAGTTGACATTGGACCACAATGTTGCACAGATAAGTGATTTTAACACACTAGTATTTTGAAACTGTGTATTGTAACGTTTATACAGTGTGATGTTTTACCTCAGTGAACTGTCATTGTAACGGCATTGTTCAAAATGAGTAAACATTACGTAAAGAGCTTGTTTTTACAAACTGAATGACATGTTGAATTTATTTTCTATTGCAATCAACAGAGTTCAAAGGGATAGTTCACCCAACAATGAAATGTGTCAGATTTACTCATTTACTCACCCCCATGTCATTCAAAACCTGCAAGACTTCACTTTCTTTTGTGGATCACAGAAGTAAATATACTGAAAATGTCCTTGTGCTCTTTAATCCATACAGTGAAAGTCATACAGGTTTGAAATGACATGAGGGTGATTAAATAATGACAGAATTCTCATTTGTGGCCAACTATCCCTTGTATGTAACCTAAAACTCCAACTTCCCACATTAACTTCAGAAATTCTGCCTCAGAAAAATATACCACGTCTATCCTTAGACAGCATTTGCATTGGTGCTTCACTATAGTGTGAATGAAGTCTTTGTAATGTCACGGAGCATGACTGATGGTGCTGTCACACATGTAAAGGAGTGAACAGCAGAAGTCACAGATGTCTTTGTTCTGCTAACACTAATGCTAATCATGGCTAAAGCTGGGGAAAGATTCTCAGAACTCCAGAATTCCAGGGATTTAGTTTCACACAAATGAGCTTGCTACAGATCTGTGCTCTCTAGAGAAGTGTGACCCAAGAGAGAAAATTAAAGCATGACACTGAAAAACAAAAAGAAGTGTCTTTTTAGTAAAGGTAAATTGAAACTGTCCACACAAAAAAAATCCAAACCCTTTTTTAATTCTTTTTGCATCTGCTTTACACAGTTTGTGACACTTAGATCAGCAAAGCAATACCACAATGATAACAAATAAAAGCAAACTTGAAGTTAATAAATAGAACTCCTCTGTATAATGTATTCACACAGCTGTACAATCCCATGGGCCAAATATGGGACAATATGACTCTTTCATAAATACAGAGAATCTGTCTTAGACGTCTCGGACACTGTTCACGCACATTCGGGACGAACATTCCACGTATGCAACTGCGCCCAGCTCGCGTGCTCGTGAGCTTCCCTGATAGACGGAAAGAAACAAGTCAGCTTAAATGTACCGTGTCAGAAATATCAGAGAGAATTTACATTCTCATTTTTCAATTTCCTTGTCACTCTTTTCTCTCGCGCGCGCTTTAATGGAAACTATTTTTTGGTGTTCATATGAATTACAGCTAAAACTGAACCAAATGTCAAAGCAAAAATAAACACGCCACAACACAGTTTTTTCATCCCCTCCCTTGCGCTTTTTGTTCATGTCAGCTAATGTTTTTTTCTCAAAAAGGGTGCACAAATACATGAAACTGCTAAAATGTCGTTTTTTTTTTCTACAACAAAAGGTCAGTGAAAGTACATGAACAGATCTAATAGGCCTCACAATAAAAACATGTAATTTGTGCCTCTAATGCTTTAAAAATAAACGTAGTGGGACATAGAATTGCACCATTTTCATGTGAAGTGACGTATATTCTTCTCATTACAGAGCAGAATTATAGAGAGAACTAGGTGTTTTATAATGAAATGTTGTTACAGCGAGTTGACCCGCTCAGAGCATTGACGCAATAGAGGGAATATTTTCTACTGCTCTCTCTGTAGTTCGGTTTCTGTGTGTAATTATAGAGCTTTCTTTTAGTGTCTGTGCGCGCTTAAGAAATGGTTTCAAACACAATATAAGAGCAGTTTACATGACATTTCAAACTGTGCCATCAGTCAACTGCAGTGTGAGATTCTATACTTCCATCTAAAAATATTTTAAACAGCATTTTCATATAGACATTGAGGAAGGCAGGGCTTAACCTTAATAAAACTGAATAAAAATATATATATATTTGCAAACATGCTCCTAAATGATTTTAACAGTTTGCACACATCTATTTTTGATCTTGAATTGACAGTCTACAAGGTATATTTGTACTGTTAACTTGCTAGCAGACTTCCAGACTATGTAAAGGCATGTTTGTATAATACTACTGTATGTGTTTTTGTTCTCATGTTTGTGCAGCAGCAGTTGAATAAACACTAATGTCCTCCTAACACAATCTCTCTTTTCTCTTAATGTTCCAGTCCCCTGTGTGTGTGAGCGTATGTATGCTCACCAGTTCATGAGTGACAGGTATGAGTCTCTGTTTGGACAGTTCTCGTAAGGTGCTGACATCTGTTCTCATATCCAACTTACAGCCAACCAGCACCAACTTTGCACTAGGACAATACTCTTGAGCCTCCACCTGCCACTGAAAGAAGGAAAGAAAGAATCTGTCATATGTAAGTCAAATTTAGATCAAATCTATCCATTTACTTACCTACCTACTGATCTACACTACCGTTAAAAATTTTGGGGTCACTTTTTTTTTTAATTAATACTTTTATTCAGCAAGAACGCATGAAATTGATCAAATTAAATAAATTATTTCTAATCAGAGAATCCTGAAGAAATATCTCATGGTTTCCACAAAAATATTACGCAGCACAACTGTTTTCAACATTAATAATCAGAAACATTTCTTGAGCAGCAAATCAGCATACAGGAGCCCTCCCTGGGCTTAACTGGGGATCAGGAGCCAGGAAACAAAAAAACTTTCAAAAACACGGAAATTAAACACGGGGAAGGGATGCCGCTTACTTTCAGTTTAGGTCCGCTGTTCTGTCACAATGCACACACATGAGGAACGAGGGGACGCTGGAGAATACTTTAACAAGACTTTAATTTCAAGAGATCAAGTAATCAGGGGAGGAACAGGAAACTAACCAAATAAGGGCATGGGAAGGCACATGGGGAGCAGGACACACAAAACATGGAACAGAGTCTGACAACACTGAAGACTGGAGTAATGATACTGGAAATTCAGCTTTGCATCACAGGAATGCATTATATTCAAATAACTGTTATTTTAAATTGTAATAATATTTTGCAATATTACTGTTTCAACTGTACCTTTCTTCCTTCTCTACCAGCTTTTAACAATGCATGCAATAGCTAAATTTTGTAAGTAACATTTAAATATTTTATTTCACTTTATAGTCGATACTTGCAATAGTTGTTTATGCTGTGATACAGTGAGTCTGTGGCACATTGCTTTTGCTCCTTGTAGTTTATGTGCACATAATGAGTGCATAATATAGTTGTGCAGACATCTGAGAGAGAATTAGGGAAGCAATTTGACCAGTAATTGTATGATTACTTACAAACACTAACACTCATGCACATCCAAATCAAATTGCACAATATTTACAACAGTTTTTAACCAATTAACTATACAGCATAGTAAACAACAACAGCTTGAAATCTCCTTTTACATCAACATAGCTTAAAATGACCCTGACAAGACCCTTTCAGGAACATTCCTGCTAATGCAGAACCATCCAAAGCCAGTTATGGATGTAGCATGGTGCATTTGTGTGTGTGTTGTTCACCAGCCCCTGCAAAGGTTCAGCTATCTCAGCTATGGCACCATTTCACAGGTTCTGAATGTGTTCAGCCATCCATCAAACAGTGCTGTGATCTTTAACCTTAAATGCCACCGTTAACTGGCCAAGCGGAGGTCACCGCCTGCCTCTCAACATTCCACAACGGCCTTTAGCTCCGCCTCAGTGGCCTCAGAGGTGAGATGCTGAAGTCATTGGTGTAGACATTCAGTGTGTCTGCTGTAACAAGGCTTAGCAGAACAACAGTGATGGTTTAGAGATGAAAGGCTTTTGGAGAAATTTCGGGATAATTACATCAAAATTAAATCACTCTTTTATAATTACAAAAAAAAAAAAGTCAAATATTTAGCTTCTGTAAGACTTTTTAATGTTTTTTTTCTCTTAAGTCTCTTATGCTCACAAAGGCTACATTTATTTGATTAAAGATACAATATAAACAGTAATATTTTGAAATATTATTACTATTTAAAATAACTGTTTTCTATTTTAATGTATTTTAAAATGTAATTTATTCCTGTGATACAATGGTAAATTTTCAGGATCATTACGTCAGTTCTAGTGTCACATTTGTTGTCATCACTGTCGGCAACCTTTGTGCTGCTTAATATTTGTGTGATACATTTAATTTGGTGAACAGAAAGTTCAAATAGAAAAAAATAGAAATAAAAATATTTTGTACAATTCTAAAAAAAAATAAAATAATAAAATGCCACTGTCACTTTGGGTCAATTTAATGCATGCTTACTGAATAAAAGCATTAATTTCTTTAAAAATAATAATAAAACTTACTAGGAGTGGGCGATATGACCAAATTCTTATATCACAATATGAGTAATTTTATTTCATGGTAATGATATATATCACATGGTTATTTTTGCTTTAAATAAGAAAAAAAAATTAATCAAATATCTTAATGTGATATTAAGTCAATATCACAAAAAACTAATACTAGCCTAAATAAAAAAAAAAAACGAGCTCACTGAAGACAAGTAAACAGTCAGCAATTAAATAAGAATAAGAAACTAATCACAAGCAGTAGGATAAAAAACTATAGTATGTAAACAAATAAATGATGCTACATACATTGAATCAAGTAATCAAAAGTATAACATGAATGACAGACAGACAGAATATTAGACTGCTGTCACTTTAGGAGCTGCCCAGATCAAATATATACTGATAAGCCTCGTTCAGACTGTCAGCCCAAATCCAATTTTGTGCATATCCGGATGGAATCTGGTTTGAATAACTGACTGTCCACACAGTGTATCACAACTGTTCATATCTGATTTGTGTGTCCATAAGCGCTCTTTCGTTTTACGGAATGTGTGTTGGTTTCTATGGCAATGCCATTGCGTTGTTATGCCAACGCTAAAGAACAACAACAGCAATACAGTTTGCAATACAGATGTTGTCTTACGACAGGACAACATGTTGCCGTCGCACTGGATTATTAATATTATGCATGTCGTTTTATGAGGCAGCGACAGAAACGCAGGAAGCTGGAATGTGCGGCTTTATTCCGTGCTGCCGTCTCCGCTGGCTTCAAAACTCAAAGAGGTGCGTATACTAGCAATATATTGTCTTTTTCCTCTTGACTTGCAGTTTGCAACAACACAATCTTGTTTCTGCAAAGACGTTCAGCATGTTTTCTACAAAACGTCTGACGTGTTCACGTTTTACATGGCTTGAAAACATGAAAAAGCACACTAAATATGATCTGACCAGTTCAGACTGAAACGGATTTCTAGGAATGTGATTTGAAAGGAAATTCAAACCACATATGAATGTCGCTCAAAACGGATTGCAAAAATCAGATATTATGTAGTTTGTTGCCATTGCCATCATCGAAATATGATCGGATTTCAATCGGATTTGGGCTGACAGTCTGAATGAGGCATTACACACAAATTACTATGTTTACAAGGATGCTTTCAAAGACAGGTATTTTGACACATACAAGTGTGTATTTAACAGTTCAAGCCCTATAAAGCGGCAAAATAACTCTGTGCAATACTCATATGAGCACTGTCTTCACGTGTGCGCCTCTCAGACAGCACACGCATACTGCAAAATGAGTTCTCTTTCGACGCTGATTGCATTTCAACGACTTAAAATCACTTGTTTTTAAACGGCAATGTGTAAAAACGTGCAAATGATAAGTTTTTGTGACCATGTAGCAAAGCAACGTCTACTGGTTGTCAAATTTCTACTAGTTAATCGTGTCTACTGACCTCTGGTCAACTTACTGACCACAAACTTCTAACGTTAAATGGTAGTGTTTACCGTTTCTGTGATATAAATATGTGATATGTAAAGGAAAATCAACAGTTTGCCATGCATTAAAGGATTTTAAAGGGGTCATATGATGCTTTTTTAAAGATCATTATGGCGTGGCAGAGTCTTAACTTTGATAAAGAATATCTCTTTGGTTTTGAGACTTTAGTCTTTGCAACTTCAGGGATCTTATCTATGCACAATCAGCTTGTAACACTCCAAAGAGAAAGGAAAACTTGAAATCGCATCATATGACCCCTTTAAATGCACGAAGTGGAGGCCAAAAACCACCCGACGCGAAGCGCTTATTCCATGGTCATTTGCCAAGTTATAGATAAGTTAAAACTAGTATTGCTCTTTGCAGCACAATATTTGACAGAATGGGTAAAATGAACAGTTATTTTCGTCAGTTACGGCTTGTTAGCTCTAGCATTCTACCCGTTTCAAATCAGAAACAGAGATGAAATAGTGCTGTAAGATCACATTTATTTTAATGAATTATAGCATTTATTTAAATTAATTATCGATCGAGAGATATGACAGTTGTGTGTGCGTTACCTGCATGCTGCGTCTGCGCGTCTCTCTCTACAAACAATTAATTACTTCAAAAACCTCGTTGCTGAGGAATATAATGTAGCGAACTAGTATCTAGGCTATTTTATTAATAAAAATCGCGGGGAAGCATTGACAAGTTTATGTGCGATCTGCAATCTCCGACTCGCTCGCTCAGTCACTCTCTCTCTCTCTCTCGTGTGTGTGTGTGTGTGTTTGTGTGCGAGTGGTGTCTGAAGGTTTGTGTGCATCAATTAAAGCAGCACATTAATATGGAATGGTGATTAAACTGACTTGGAACTACCTGTGCATTAAACGGTTTTACTGCATACCTGCCAGCCAATCAGAATCCAGTATTCAGACAGACCATGGAATAATTCATAATATTGCCCACTCTTTTTCCTATATCATCTGAATATCTTTTTCTCACCAGACATATACTCAAAAGACATCAACTCAAAAAACACATTGAAACCCTTCAGTGCTAGGCTCACACCCTCATCACCACATAATTGTTGGCATCTGTGTTTAGGTTGTGTTTTTGTGTAAATCCACAATGCCGTCATCCTCCCACTGCTAAACACCCACAAACAAAAACTTCTCTTAGTCGACAATTACATTGTGTTTTCCCAGCGAGAGACTAAAATGCTGCAAGTATGTGCGTGTTTACAACTACAGCTTATAATGTCATTCCAACATGCACTGTTTCATGTATATACTGATATTTCTCTTTTTTAGGATAAGAGAAAAGAAAAAAGGAAATAAGAGGAGATTCTGACCTTCTTAGGGATGCTTTCCAGCGTCTCTGGTCTGCTGATATCAAAACAGATGAGCACAGCATCACAGTCTGGATACGCCAGGGGCCGTACATTATCATAATACGAGGACCCTGCAGAACACAAGCACAGTGAGGGGTCAGGATGAAAACGCTTCATTACGATAAAGCTGATGTTCAAATCAAAGGGGAAACACTGCTAATGGCGCTTGCGAATGTTGTGGCACATATAAATTATGTACAGTGGGTCATACAGCAGGGCAGATGATAGAAAAGACTGATGTTTCTACAGTGGTGAGTGCCTGAACAGGGAGGAGAGGTCAGTTTAATTCCAGCACAGTAAATTCTTTCTCTTTGGCTGTGTTCGGAATAGCATTTTTAACATTAGCATTCATACTAATTCTGCATAATAAAGTATGTATACTGTATACTGTGCACATTGTGAATTTTCTAAACCACCCTTGTCCCAGGGTTCAGTCAAGTGCAGTCACCTTTATTTCTATAGTGCTTTATGCAATACAGATTGTTTCAAAGCAGCTTTACAGTAATAAACAGGAAAAAACAGGACTCGATGCAAACTTCATCAAATTTGAGATAAATCCAAATGCTTCTGTAAGACAGCTCTAAAAAGACAACTGAAAAAAGTAACCAAATGAAAACAGGCTGAAATAAAATAAGGTATATTTTAATGAATATTTATTTTATTTCAGTGAACAAAAATGTTTTCTATGGTTTTAGTTTTAGTTAACTATACTACATTTCTATAATACATTTCTATTACAGTAGCATATTAGTACAGTATTATGCTATTGTTGTCACATGACCTCACTGAATTGCATGTTTAATTGTCCAGTCATAATCACAGAAATTAAACCCATTATTAATTTGATTTTGTGTAATACTGGCTAATTTGTTTGGCAGTGTGGAAAAATCAGTTTCCCGCTCATTTATGATGTTGAAAATAGAAGACGGTCAAGGTGAGCTCATAATATTTTTGGATTCATATAGAAAATTCACATTATGTACTCAGTACTTTGAATGGGGTTGTGAAATGCCACCGTCTAAAATTGGCGTACTCTGTCTTTCCTGATCTCCTCTCTCGAACTTTGCATTCATCTCTCACTCTTCTGTCCTTCCCTCGAGTGAGGACACAAATTCAGACATAGACAGAGAGCGATAGGGAGAGAAAGAGAGAGTGACAATGAGTGTTTGAAGCGCTGATCAAAGCTATCAGTTATTATGGGCTGCATGGCCTCAGGAGCCACCTTATGAGCTGCATGTCCCACAATCCCCTCTGGCAGGTCTGTCAACCACAGCCAGGGAAAGATGGTCAAATCTAATTTCCTAGATGAGAGTGTAAATAAGGATAAGACGAAACTAATAAAAGTGTTCAGAGAGACAGATTGGAATGAAAAAAGGCATTTTCTGTCGTCATATTGCTTCTTTGTTATTTGTCGCCAAGTTGAGTGTGCTAGTCCACAGGGACACAGAAGCACTTTATTCTGTTCTCCATACAACAGCTTCTAAAATAAACTTGTTTACTTAGCTATTTAAATGAGGACATACCATAGACTTCTGTTGTTTATTTTTATATAAACCCCATAATAATCACCAAAACCCTAACCATACTCTAAACAAGTAAACCTTTACGACTTTGCACCTTTAACCTTTCATAAAAATGATTCAAGCATTCATATTATATATATAAAGAGAGAGAGAAAGAGAAAGAGAAAGAAAGAGAGAGAGAGTAGTACTAATAACAACAAATGGGAAATTAATATTTATAAATTATTGTATTATTATGTATTCCATGCATTCCATGTAATAATAATAATAATAATAATAATAATGCATGACATTTACGTATATAGTGCTTTTTCTTGACACATTTGGAGGGGGGAAATCTCTTTAACCAAAGAGTAATAATAACAACAAAAGGTAAAATTATTTTTATAACATTGTAATAAAATTTAATGTAATAATGTCTGAAATAATAATAATGTATTATTATTATTATTATTATTTCATACAAATGCCCCAAAGGGACATTGTCAAATTTGTTTCGTACCAGATTTAGCTCCCTTCTCTGGACAGATTTGCCCCCAAGTAGCTCGATAAACCCACACACACACACACACAGACAGAGAAACAGTGTTTACTGTACAGCTGCTCCGCATCTCAGCCTGTGTGTATTTGTATGTGTGTGTGCTCTTTTCTTAACACTCTTGTTGTCTTTTTTGTCTGTTTTTCTATTTAATAATTTGAAGTTGGTCACTCTCCTCAGCCAATCCAAAAACATTCACGCCATGAAAAAACAAAACAAAACAAACATTTCCTGTCTTGTTTGCAGTGGGTGTTAAATGTCTCCATAGAATTCTCGGCCGGTTGTTTATTTTCGAGACATTATTACTGTGATTACGTCTGTAGTGCTAAACATAATTTGTGACTTGTTAAGAACAGTGTGTCTGTATGAAACGCTGACCTGAATGTGTGCCAGTAAACATTCTCCTCTTCGAGTCCCTAGATTCACCTCTCGCCAGCTGTGCAGCTGTGTGTGTGTGTGTGTGTGTGTGTGTGTGTGGATGAAGCAGAACTCTATGGGATGTCATTACAGATTGTTGAAGATGTAGCCGTAAGCACAAGAGTGTCAGTTAGCTCAGTAGCAGCACACATATGCTCACACAAACATCGACAGACACCTCATTAACACCCATCAGAGACACAGCATGATTACCTGTGTGAATATGTGTTTATGTTTGCATTTTTCTAGATCTAAACAGGCCTAAGGGCAATGCATGAAAAGGTTAAACTGAAAAGAAGGATGTTATGCTGGCAGAAACAATGCCTGAAGGTTGTATGACTGAAATGTTGCATTAAAATATGATTACCAGTGTGCAGGAATTGTAGGAATTGCAGGAATCAGTGGCCACATACACACTGTAGCGTTTCAACCACATTTAAATATGTGAGTGAATCTCCAAAATTACAGTCTTGTGTGTATGGAACAGAACTCAAAACTAGGATGACTGACACAGTGGTAACCTCACCAGTGTTTTGCATCTCGTGCATTTGGTATTCGCTATTTTTGACCTAAGCAATATTACAATGACCAAAGACTCATTATGTTCAGCGATTTTAACTAAACCACCGTCGACAGAGCCACTGTGTTTTATTAATGTTTGGAAAGTTGCTTTACAGAGTGTGCTCTTCAAGGGATGCCATGTCCACTTATTATAAATGATGCTTATTAAGCATATTTGTAGATTAGTAGAATAAGTTGACATGTACTTGCAAAGTTACTTATAGTTAGTAGAATGTTTATAGTGGACTAGAAAAAAAGTGTTAATGACGTAAAAATGTATATATTGCATTCCACAGAAGACAGTAAGTCACACAGCTCTGGAATGTCGTGGAACAAATCTTGACATTGTGACAAATTAAGATTTATCCACAGTTACATCATTTTGTAGCTTTCATGTCAAAATACTTCCTTTTATCACACTTTTAGGGGAAAAAAATGGTACAAAAGTATTACTGGCATGGTACCCTTATTTAGATCTAAAAAGATGCATATTAGAATCTTAAAGGTACATATTTTTACTTAAAACATGCATTTTAGTTTGGTGCATATTAATACCCTTCGAAAGGGAATTCAGCTTAATGTGCAGAGACAACTATATGCAGTTGTTATCTTATTATTATCATTGTTATTAATTAATAATATATTTATTATTTTAATGTATATAATAATAATAATAATATCATGAATAGGAAACTGATAGTACATATATAGTACATGTTCCTGTGGCTCAGTTGTAGAGCATTGCGTTAGCAGCGCAAAAGGTCGTGGGTTCGATTGCCAGGGAACACACATACTGGTAAAAAATGTATAGCCTGAATGCACTGTAAGTCGCTTTGGATAAAAGCGCCTGCTAAATGCATAAATTATTATTATTAAATTATTATATATTTGTTAAATATATTTATTAAAGTGACATTTTAAAATCAGACTTAGCTCACTTCTAGAGACAGATTTGTTCATATTTGTTCGCACTTAAAGCTAATTATTTTTATGTAAAAATGCTTCCTTTTATCCCAGCTGAAGACAACAATAACCAGTAGTCAATTCGGGAAAAAAATCCAACTTTGGTTGAAAAACCTACTAACATTTGTCAAGAAAAATATTTTATAGCTGATTCTGTGTCTGGCTCGTTCATCACGCTTGAGATGGAAGGTCAAGTCAAGTTCATTGCATTGTGGGATACAGTGTTTCATGCAGTGAGCTCTGTTGTATACTGCACATTTTCTCAAATGTAGAAGGTCATCTGGGTATTCTATGCATAGAAAATTTGCAGAGTATACATACTACAGAAATAGCAAGAGTAGTATGCTAGTATGCATTTCCAAACATTGCCGTTGTTTTTGAAATGCATTTGGTGGCACAACTGATACAGAAATCACATTTATGACCCTGGACCACAAAACCAGTCATAAGGGTCAATTTTTTGAAACTGAGATTTGTACATAATCTGAAAGCTGAATAAATAAGCTTTCCATTGGTGTGTGGTTTGTTAGGATAGGACAATATTTGGCCGAAATACATCTATTTGAATATCTGGAATATAAGGGTACAAAAAAATAAAAGTTCGCCTTTAAAGTTGTCCAAATGAAGTTCTTAGCAATGTATATTACTAATCAAAAATTGAGTTTTGATATATTTACGGTAGGAAATGTACAAAATATCTTCATGGAACATGATCTTTACTTAATAAAAGAAAAATCGATAATTTTGACCCATACAATGTATTGTTGGCTATTGCTATAAATATACCCGTGCTACTTAAAGGGTTAGTTCACCCAAAAATGAAAATTACCCCATGATTTACTTACCCTCAAGCCATCCTAGGTGTATATGACTTTCTTCTTTCAGATGAATACAATCGGAGTTATATTAAAAAAAAAAAACATCCTGGCTCTTCCAAGGTTTATAATGGGAGTGGATGGTAGCCCAAAATTTGAAGTCCAAAAAATTAAACCAATCCATTATAAAAGAAGTCCACATGGCTCTGGGGGGTTAATAAAGGCCTCCCGAAGCGATGCGTTTGTGTAAGAAAAATATCCATATTTACAACTTTATAAACCTTAATCTCTAACTTCCGCTAACTGTCATACACGCATTCACGAGAGAGTGGCGTCCAGCGGATGACGTAGCACGTAGCATAAGCTCCGGTGAGAATATGCTAGTCTCGCGAGAAACAAGTTTTGTTTACAGCAAAGGAAAACCAGTGTCCTCTTGGATTATATCAAAATCCTCCTACGTCCTACGGAATCCATCTGCTGGAATGAACACGCATTTGACAGTTGGCAGAAGCTAGAGATTACAGTTTATAAAGTTATAAAGTAATATGGATATTTTTCTTAAACAAGAACATCGCTTCACTTCAAAAGGCCTTTATTAACCCGCCAGAGCCGTGTGGAGCACTTTATGATGGATGGATGGACGCATGTTTTTGGGCATCAAAATCTCGACCCTCATTGACTGCCAGTATAAAGTTTGGAAAAGCCAGGACATTTTTTAATATCACTCTGATTGTATTTGTCTGAAAGAAGCAAGTCATATACACCTAAGATGCCTTGAGGGTGAGTAAATCATGGGGTGAACTATCCCTTTAAATTAAACAGCGTGATATCATACTACTACTAATTCGTGACCGGTGTTTTGTTTTGCTCTCTCCTCTGCGCTTCCACGTTCGTCACTTCCACGTTCATCACCGCATTTACGCTAAACCTACGTCATCCGCTGGACACCACTCTCTCTTAAATGCGTTTATGACAGTTAGCAGAAGCTAGAGATTAAGGTTTATAAAGTTGTAAATATGGATATTTTTCTTACACAAATGCATTGCGTCGCTTCAGAAGGCCTTTATTAACCCCCCATAGCCGTGTGGACTTCTTTTATAATGGATTGGTTCAATTTTTTGGAATTCAAATTTTGGGATACCATCCACTCCCATTATAAACCTTGGAGTCAGGATGTTTTTAAATAAACTCCGATTGTATTCGTCTGAAAGAAGAATGTCATATACACCTAGGATGGCTTGAGGGCGAGTAAATCATGGGGTAATTTTCATTTTTGGGTGAACTATCCCTTTAAGACTGGTTTTGTGGTCCAGGGTCACATTTAATGTATGAGGCCAATCTGGCCATACATTGGGAAATGCTTCAGTTTAGCATTTAAATACTTTGGTTCTGTTTGTATTAAATTTCGTCTTAAGTTGTTCCACCAATTTACAGATTGAATCATTTTAGGTCACTTTGTTATGACAGTATCGGTCAATAAAATAGATGTAAATACACATATACTTTTTGCACACAAAGCTACTGGGTGCCTGGCTGTTGTCAAGAGGGCTTACTGACAACATTTCTAAACAGTGATAAAGTTCATAACCAGCTGAACTTTATTATCACACAGTCCACGCTGAAACAGACTCAGACCTTGGTATGAGAGCGCTTACAGTAAAGTGAAGATTTACTCTCGACAGGGTTACAGTTTGACCCAGCACAACTCTACAGACCAACAACAACAGCAGGAGAGGAAAACATTCCCATAGGAACTTAAAAATGGAGGTGACAAGAAAAGAAATTCCCATAAAGGATTTTTATAGCAGGGTGGGGAAACATGCAGAGGCCTAGAGCGGGGGATTTATGGGTCACGCTTGCTGAGAAACCCCTGAAGCGTGTGTCAGGACGAGTGTGTCAGCAGTGGTGTAGTTTAACACCAAGTGTGCTAAAATCCACACTGACAGCACTGTCTAAACATGCATGCACAGCTTTGAACATATTACTTGAGTTCTGGCTAACTTGTTGGTCTGTTGCGTTATAGATGAGAAGCTTGAATCCACACAAAGCCATTTATATTAGAGATCTCACCCACAGATACAGTCCACAACTCAAGAGCAATATAACAGGATCATATTCTACTCTGTATTCATAAATCCTGAATGTCTATTGTGTATTGTTAAATCAAAGCAGCGAGAGTTCTGCTTCCTGACTCTTTGTAGTTCAGACATCACATATTTGAGAAAATGTTGCTGAAACTACATTCTCTTGTGAGTCACTCCAGAGAACCAAAAAGCCATGTTCAATCTTTCTCATACAAATTCACAAGGGGTCAGCCAGGCCATGGGAGCGGTCAACAGCCAGGAGGGACAGGAATGAACCGTGTCCATGCATAGACGAGACTGGCACCAGGATTTGTTACAGTAGAACTTTTGCAATTGCATCTATCTGTTTATCTATCCATGCAGACGCTTCAAAATGTACACTCCCAGACTGTCCAAATCAGTTTGACGCCACTAAAGAGCACAATGCTTGAGTCACAGTCACTGGCTATGTTTGGACTGGAATACTAGTATACTACCTTGTGCATACTGCCTGATTTTATATGGATTTTAATATAGCCTAATAAGCCTATATATATATATATATATAGAGAGAGAGAGAGAGAGAGAGTACATTGTCATTATATTTGACTGCATTACAAGCATGTTTATTTAAAGGGATAGTTCACCCAAAAATTAAAATTTTGTCATTTACTCAACCTCATGTCGTTCCAAACCTGTATGAGTTTCTTTCTTATGTTGAACATAAAAGAAGATATTTTGAAGAATGCTGGTAATCAAACAGTTGATGGTCCCCATTGACTTCCATATTTCTTTCTCTACTAAGTCAATGGGGACCAACAACTGTTTGGTTCTTCAAAATTCTTTAAAATATCTTATTTTTTGTTCAGAATAAGAAATAAACTTATACAGGTTTGGAACAACATGAGGGTGAGTTAATGATTCATGCACATTTAACGTTTCAATCCAAATATGTCTTTTGACAGTGTTAATTGATAATGAGTCAAAAGATAAAGCTTCAAAATCACATTGACTTCTTGTTCATGTCAAGTGATATAGTATACAACCATATGCCCTGAAATAAATGAACTTTTCCACGACATTCTAATTTATTGAGATGCACCTGTACTGCACCGTTTGGTAAAAGTAGGATTTTTCAAAAATAGGTAAATACAATGTTGCTTACTATGTACAGTACAAACTGCAGAAATATTATGTGTAGTATGTAGCATGATATTCCGAGAAACTGTTTAATTTTGATGCCAAGCCGGATCTCACCTGATGTGTCCCACATGTTCAGCTCGATGCGGTGCTTGTCTATCTCAAAGCTGGCCGTGTAGTTCTCAAACACTGTGGGCACGTAATTCTGCAATGAAAAAAATCATAATACTTAGTCCACGGTCGCCGTGATTTTTCCAAGTAAGACATGTTCCTGGATCAACAGTTTTTGTTGATCCTGGATCAACATTATTGTCCAAAACATAGACCTAACCCTATCCCTAGCCCTAAACTAACCCTACCAATAATTAAACTGTCGCGTCCGGTGTAGACACAGCGTTACAGTGCGCTGGTTGTTATTATTACAATTTACAAATTATATATATATATATTTTTCATTCTTTTCTTATTTAAAAAGTTGCCAAAAAACCTGGTCTAGTCTAATTTGAAACATTTATAATTTTATAATTTGCATATGGCCCTAACTTGTAAAACGCCTATAACTTTTATAGTTTTGCAGTGAAGTGTTATATGAAAACGCGGTTAAGATAATACGTAAATGTGTTTTTTAATTAGCCTATATATTTTTTGAGACCATCTTAATTCGCACCCTGGTTCCTAGCAGTCTCACTTCAGCGTCTCATGCAGTGAACGCCTCCGTGCCAAGTTAGAAACGCGAGGCTCCTGCTCATCTTTCTATCCATTTACACTCTAGTGTGACCAGTCCCTTAAGAGACACGCATGCAGTTTATTGAACTCGAACTTAAATCACACAACTTTTAATGCAACCTACGTTCATTGGTTTAAAACAGTCATACTATTATTCTACTACTCTAACACACACACTGACTATTTTCATCATCACTCCGTTCATCATATTTAGTAACTTATTTCCTGTTTTTTAACAGTACTATAGGTATTAATGATAAACAGCATGATGCGTTCACCTCTGGGTAGCTGTCCTTGGCGAACACATGCAGCAGCGCCGTCTTTCCACACTGAGTGTCACCGACCACCACGATCTTACAGCGGCTGCACTGTCCCTCCATCATCACCACTGTCAGCTCTGTCCTAGCGCTGAACGAGCACCATCCGCCGCCTGATAACGCTCCTTTATAACGCCGAATTAATGATTCAGAGCAGAGACAGTGAGAGTGCCTCTGAGTGGACAGAGTCCCCTCCCCTGTCCGCCTGTCAGTCTCCGGTTCCCACGGTGACTCCACGCGCCGAGGCTGCACCCCTCTTGACTCAGTAGCCTTGATTTCTAATGACACGATGCGGCTGTCTTGCCTTCCTACTGTGGTTTGGGCATGGTGTAAATTAAGCGACCCCTCTGGCTCGTGTATGGAAATAGTTTTAACGATGTGATTTAACACATCACTGAGTCGCCCATCCGGGGTTCCCAAGGTAATGAAAAATATCAAGAAAATGTCATTAGATTAAAAGCCATGCGCTTGGAACATTAGTGCAATTTAATACAATGTCAAAAAGACACTCTTTCTATAGTGAATACATTGTGTTCTAAAATATTTAATTGGGAAGAGGTTTCATTGCTTGCGAGTGCAATCTCTATTAATTGATTTTAAAATCATATTTTACATCAAAAAATTATATTTCTGTTTCTAAATATTAGTGTAAAAATGTGTTAATGTTTTGTGTTAGCTTCAGAGTATTGAGAAAGTTCAGGCGAGGTCACCTTATTAACCAGACTAGATTAGGAAAATTTGCAAACCTGAATCTCTTATAAGTGAAAAATGGTGATTTGTCAAAGAACAGCACGAGTCATCTGAAAACCTGTTTGTCTATCTTTGATTAATTTAATTGCTTTTCAGCACATTTTGGCTTTTTGGGTGATACATTTAGCTTCCTAGAACCATAAAACTCAAGGAAAAAAATATATATTAAAAAAGTAAATTGATAAAAATGTGGGGATGTGGGGTTTTTTTTGTGAGACATTGAACTGCTATATTTTTAGTTGATTTAACAATTTATGTTATTACTGAGAATAATACTGTGCACATAAATTTAAAAAAGTAAAAAACAAAATTCTCAGTTCTGTTTTCTTTGGAATATTTATTTACATTTTTCTTTTTTTTTTTTCAAATAATTGGAAAACCAGTAGACTATAAGAATAGAATCTCATTCATTATAACATTTTTATATGTAATTATATTTAATTATTAAATATTAATAACATTCATTATTATTAATAATAATATAAATAATATTTCTACAGCATGATGGCACTTGCACTATTATGGTCACGTAAATGTACATGATTTATACACCTTTTCTGTATACAGCTCCTTCTATGTTTAGATCTAATTAAAATATTTTAATTGCATCATTGTATTATTTTACTTTTTTAACAGCATGTTTAAAAAGTTGGTTCCATGGCTTTTAAACTTTCCAATTGTATTAATTTACATGAACGTTTCTATCAAAGAAGATTTCAATGCAAGTTTGCATCTGCAAGACTTTATTTTTATTTTATTGTTGTTGTTTTTCCATTTATGTAAAGCTGCCATCTGCTGGTAAATGTCGGTGCTGCAGATTTTTCACTGTTGAAAGGTGTTGGTCGTCCGATTTATTACATGGTCTGTTTTTTTTTTGAGTGGTGGACATGGGCTTACTTTGCGAATTTGTGTAGAATAACAAGAATACGTATAGAATAACAAGTGGCTATTAAATCTGATCGAAGAGTAGGGCGTCTGCGTTTGTTCAGTTTAGTTCACTGCAAGGTTTGTGCACGAATGCAGTAATTTTACTTTATTTATTATGTTTTTTTTTATCGTCATTGTGAGTTCTCAGCTTCTTTAAATGGACTATTATGTTGTGTTTTAAGCTAGTGATGTGGTCTTAAGCCTCCTTTTAAAATCGTATTTAAAAAAATAATTCCGTTTTGGTCAGGAATTGAAATCGTACTCAGAGATTCTGAATACTTCTGTATTCTGTATTTCGCTCAGGCATTCAGTTCACGCCCCAAACCCAACCATTATACAGACGGGTTCCATCGGACAGCCACGCCCATTAAGCGCTGTCCCGCTTTTACCAGCAGGGGGAGACAAATACCACGAGACCGAGCACGTGTGTCACGTTAGTACGTTACACGTTAGCCAGGCATTTTGTGTTGTTTTATTTAGCACCGAAAACCACATAATAATATTATTTTGTAGTTACAAGAAATTTTAGAAACTAGAAGAAATGGTCCATTACTAACCACAGGAGGTTACCGCATTCCTGCTGTCCGTGGATGTTTACTTTCACACAATGGGTTTATGTCATACAGGGGTGCCCAACTCGGTCCTGGAGGGCCGGTGTCCTGCAGAGTTTAGCTCCAACCCCAATTAAACACACCTGAACCAGCTAATCAAGCTCGTACTAGGCATGCTAGGAACTTCCAGTCAGGTGTGTTGAGGCAAGTTGGAGCTAAACTGTGCAGGACACCGGCCCTCCAGGACCGAGTTTGGGCACCCCTGGGACCTTCTGAACTGCGTAACTGTGCTCACAATTTCTTTCAGCGTTATTTCTTGTAAAGTCTGTTTGGTTTGTTGTTTGTAAAGCCAGTTGCACCTTGTGGCATGTAGCATCGGTTCCTGGTATGTGAGGGTTTCATTATAAAGCCCTGAAAACAAACAAGCATAAATAAATATGTTATTGAGTTTCCTACATGCAGATGTTGCATACATTTGTAGATAAACAAAAAATACCAAATACAAGAAGAAAGAGAGAAAGAGAAAAATGTTAATCCACTTAAATATGCTCTCATTACCATCTAGATTATTGTAATACTTCACTGTTTTGCACATAATCCCATGAAAAGTAACAACTTTGCGTAATGTGATAAATAACATGGATGTTATATCAAAATCACAGGTTGAAATTTTATGTGAATGTATAATACAGAGTATACATTTTACTGTGGTTCTTCACAATTTTGAGGGTTTTCTTTTGAGGAATGTTAATTTTAATGGTCCTCTGTTGTGACAATTAAAAAAAAAAAATTTGTAGACATGATGGTACAGTGTTATGTTAGGGTGTCATGAGTGGTTGTGAAATTAATGAGTTCGTTGGTTGTATTATGGGGGTGTGAAACACAGTAGGCAGTCTGTCAGGACTGAGTGAGATGGTTTCTGAATTGAAGAGAAGCACTCAATGGAGTTGGTTGATGTCTGATTTACTGAAGACTTTGTGGGTATACATGTATGTGTTTTTTTTCACATGTACGCACACTGTAACCCAGTATAAACTCGAAGTCAATGTCTTTAAAGTAACTCTGAATGAACTAGAATACAGCTGCCAAACTCTCCATCTTCTCACGTGCGCTGCGTCTCTCTCTAGCCTGTGATTCAGCTCCGCCTCCCGTGGTGATGTTGCAGCCGCGCTGAACATTCTGATTGGTCAGCATCATCCGGGATTTAGAGACAGCTGAGCCTTTTGTACAGGTTGCTAGGGCATTGCTATGCCGTTGTTAAGGTGTTTTAAGTGTTTCTACTGCATTTCTATGTGGTTGGATTTTTTGAGTGATTGTTAGGTGACTCCTTTTTGGATCTGAAGGAGCGTTTGGTCCCAGAAACAGTGATGTGTGACGTATAATAATCCCCTTCACAAACGGATTATTTTTTAAAGGAATGGGTCACCAAAAAATGTAAATTTGCTTAAAGTTTACTCTCCTTCAGATGAGAATGTTTGGTTCTTCACTGGAATTTTTTTTTAAATTTAGAATTGCATCACTTGCTCACCAATGGATCCTCTGCAGTGAATGGGTGCCATCAGAATGATAATGATACAAGCTGATTTTAAAAGAAAAACATAAGAAATTATGGATTTGTTTCCTACAAACACTCAGCTTTCTGCTTCACAAGATGCTAAAAGATGGAATGGAGTGCTGTGGATTACATCTGAATTATTGTGATGTTGTTATCAGCTGTTTGGACTCTCATTCTGACGGAATCCATTCACTGCAGAGGATCCATTGTTGGATGAACTATTCCTTTAACACACAGTATCATAGCATGTCACAAACTCCTGTCACCACTTAAAATGTCATGCCAATTTCCTATGTTTTTTTCCCAGTCAGGCACTTAATATGTGAGTGTGCAGTGGACCTGGTTACATAAAGGACTGTCTCCCTAAATATATTCCTGTTGGACACACAGAAGCATTTCTGCTGGGCTGTTGTCATGTTCAGGGTCAGTGGAAAAGTAGTCAGTAGGTATCTTTTTAGTGTCTTAGCGTCTTATACACAGTAGCGCCATCCTCTTTTTGTTGTGTATGTGAATCTGGCACAAGTCTGAGCAAGTTTAAACAAGTAGTCCACTTAATTTACAACTGAAGTGTACGTGTGTGCATGTACTTCGTGTCTCTGGATATCAAGGGGCCAAGGAAAGCTAAATTTCATCCAGCACTCCAGCCTCATCCTCTCTGTCTTGCTTTGTGTGCAGACCCTATCAGGCTCAGAATGCATCAGATGCACACAGCCTAACCCACTTACAGCTTAACCAGACTGCAAAGGTTAACTATGGTCAGGATAACTCTCTCTTTCTCTATTCCCATTCAGTCTTCTCCATATCAAATGCCCTTGTAAACTTTTATTACCCCTTATATGTCACCCAGGAAAGAGGTTAAGCTTGATGTTTTAATTACCGGAAGGTTGCATCGAGAAAATGTTATTGCACAGCGGTTGCACTTTCATAGCTCAGACCGTTGTTGACACACAGCAAGTATAGAAGAAATTATGAATATATGAAGAGTTCAGATGCAAAAGCCTCTAAGTGCCGTCTGAAATTTTCTTCTAAAATGAGCATATTTTAGCAGGCTCCTATATTTATGTTGTTATTTTAGATTAATTGCATTGAAAAGGACCTATACATTGCCATTAGAATAAAATTACTGAAGCTAAACATAGGAGCCTGATAAAAATGCTAATTTTAGATGAAAATTTCAGACGGCACTTAGAGGCTTTAGCATTTAGGATTTTATGATTACAACACAGTTATTTTGCATAGATATTGATAAAATAAGAAAAATTATAATAATAATTATATTTAGGATTGAATCACCATTATTTGCAAAGATAGATATTGACAAAATAAGCATAATGAAATAAAATTATATTGGTAATTTATGATTACATTTAGAATTAAAACAATAATTTTGCATAGATGTATAGATATTGATAAAATAAGCATAATTAAAATTATAATCCTAATTTGTGATTATATTTATAATTGAAACAATTATTTTGCATAGATAGATATTGTTAAAATAAGCATAATTAAAATTATAATAATAGATGACAATTATATGTATGATTAATAATTATTTTGCCTAGATAGTGTTAAAATAAGCATAATAAAATAATCATAAATTATGATTAATTATTTTGCATTGATAGATAAATTATAATAAATAGAATAAGCATAATTAAAATTATAATTTATTATTACATTTATGATTAAAACAATTATATTTATGATTAAAATGTAGACAGATATTGATAATAAGCATAATTTATAAAAACAAAATGAATGAAATCCAGTATGAGTCATCCATTTACTAGTTGTTTATAATTCTACTGCTTGAGGCAAGTGACTTTCATATCATTTGGCAAGCAGGGTTTGCCTGCCAGCAGGACTTTGCCCGACTCTTTAGCCATTAGAGGATTTATGTCACCATTGGCGGGTACGGCAAGACTGGCACACAAATACCAGACATTATTTGCAAAGATTTAGGACCAGAGCTCAAGCAGCTAAGCCGCAGTTAGCAAGACATTAGGTGTTTTCCAAGATCACTAGTTTTCAGATTTCTAAAGCAATGTATTTTTTGTCAGCATTTCTAGAATGCCGGTGACGTGACAAAAGGAAATAGAATTCCACTTATTTAGTCTTTTTCCTATAGCGTGATCTGCATAGCTTCTAAAGTCATTCAGCCCCGTGACCCACAGTTCACTTCCTGTTTCTCTTAAAGCATTTCCTTTACGTTTGTAGATGAGTCAGAGTGCAGTTTCAGTGACCATTACTATTGCAGTGTTTGACTGTATGTATGTTTGTGTGAGTGTGATGGGGTGTGGAGGCTGATTTAGAGTGAAAAAGCATGCCTGCTTTGGCCGGAGTTGTTCCTAGCACGGTTATTTTCTGTCAGAGCACTCACAAACACATGAGCGCAAAGCACCGCCTTCAAGTGTTAACAATGGTTTGTGAATTTACTGTGATTTCCAGATCGGTCTTGGAGAATAGAAGGAATAAATAGACATTTCCTCTTGGCCTTCTGGTTGCACACAAACATGTTCATAAGCACGCCTCCACAGCCACGCAAAGGACGTACACGCCTCTACACACATGTTCGCAGATGCACACATCCGTTCTGCTACATTCATGCAACAAAAAAAACACTTGAAACTTAGACAGTGTAGCTGCTATCAGCTGTGCACATGCACACCTCGTTTTTTTTACACAAATAGCACCCAAGCATTGTGCACCATTTTGATTTCATAGGAAAGCATATTTTTTTCTCTCCTCACAATGACAGAA